TACAAATACAAAAACTAAAATAAAAACCAAAAGAAAAATTAAAAGAAAAAATTTATTTCACATTAAAAAGAAAGATAAAATAGGGGACTACATTAATTTTTATTTTATTTTTAAAAAGCCAGAGAAATGGGAAGGAAGAAAATTGGCGGAGCTATTTTTTTTTTAACGAGTTGTGACCTCATTTCTCCTTGTTTCCTTTTATAAACGTCTATTATGACATATGTTTTTGGCTTTCCACTCGAGCTCCATAGCCCTATCAATCATGTTCCGTAATTTCTGAAAATAGTTATCTTTGTGTGAGACAAAAAAATTTAATAATCATAAGTAATGTATGTAATATTTTTCTAACAAAAAGAGAGAAGGAAAAGGAAGAAATAAGAAAGGGAGAGAAGAAGAGAGAGAGGAGAGAAGATAGAAGAAAAAGAGAGGAGGGATGAGAGAAGGAAAAGAAAGAAAAAAAAAAAGAGGGGGAGAGAAGAGAGAAGGAAAAGAAAGAAAAAAGAGAAGAGAGAAGGAAAAGAACGAAGAGAGAGAGAGAGAGGAGAGAAGGAAAATAATATAAAAAAGGAGAGAGGGGGACAATGAGGGAGAGTGGTGGGGTTTGTTTTTTTTTAACAAAAATTTGGGCTGGGCAAAAGAGGAGAGAGGAGAGAGAAGAGTGTGGGTACTATTTTTTTAACACAAATTTCGGCCGGGCATGAGCCCAGCCTGCCATAGGCTGGAACCGCCACTATTCATAGCGCACTTTGCTAGACCATAATCGTCCTCCAGCTTTGGAAATTGAAGATACAAAGGTTTCTCTGCATCAGCAGGCGCCTGAAATACCATGTTCAGGTTAGAATCACAATAAAATACTGATGTACAAAGGCAACATTCTAGCATGTTGAACTCAAACCTAAAAAGTTTTTCAAAGTTGTGAAGCGCACACACACACACACTAACACACTAATACACATCAGTCAGCAGAGTGATTGATACATATAACATCTACAAACCATAAGGAGAAATCTGGACACGCAAAAAAATACAGGATGTAGCAAGTCAGGCTAAAGGTAGGTTATCATGTTGATTAAAGTTAAGT